TATATATATATATATATATATATATATCACAACCGAATAGTTGTATCCTCTTCTACTTCTACAGAGCGGTCTCGCCAAGCTGGTGATCTCATGCATACTGATAGTTGCAGGGGCTCATTGCAATTCGTTGTCTGTCATCCTCAGGAAAAAGATGTTGTGCCTATGCCTTGTTCCTTAGGGAGTTCAAGATCTTCGCTTGGCCGGAGGCAATACAGGCGGCGCCACAGACCTAAAGGCGGCCCCTACCACAGAACATGCATGTACCCACAACCGCGTTGTCTGCGTGCACCCATGCATGCATTCACGAAAAATTGGATATATCTGCGTTGCCGTCACACCCAAGCAATGCAGCATTTCCTCGTGTCTCATATTCAACGGCCCCGGAGTTGCATATTGTCCGCACAGCAGACACTCCAGAGGCGTGCACCAGCTAGTCGGCTAGCTAGCTTGCTGCAACTCCTGGCACAGCAACGTAGATGTCGGTTGACAGAGGCATTTGCCTCTCTCAGTATCAGGGTTGCTGCGCTCAGGAGAGCCTATACACTAATAAAATGCAAAAAAAATGTTTCATTAAACTCCCCTTTCCACTTTTCCCGCAACATTCACTCCTCAAACATGCATGCAGACGTGGATATATAAGCACACAAAAGCCCCCCGCTCTGTCTGTGCCTGTCTCCATGATATTTTGCCGGTATTCCCTTCCACATAAAGGCAAAGCCGAGAATGCGTCGACGCATAATCAAAGCAGCAGTTGAGCCGCCTAGCGGCTACACTTCAACAACTGCGGTGTACGTTCAGCCTCCTACGACGCAGCACTATGCAAACACAGGCTGCATCTACGCGCCTGTTCATACGCTTAGGCTATGCATGCATGTGTTTATTTACGTGTGGTGTACACAATCATAGACAGTTGCACTTCCAGGTGTACTGGAAAACAGTCCATTCTACTGCACAACGCACCCAGAACGGGCCAAATACACCAGCTAAACCATGCGTAGAAAATGCACTGTATGATACAAGTGCATGCAAAGGCGCATGCACGTGTATTCGGTTGGCAGATGATGCTGGGAATTGATGCCAACATTGCATGCACAGGGTGGTCAGTTTACTGGGGGGATTTTGGCAGAGAGTCAACGAGGGAGCGGACGGCCTCGACAGATTTCGCAAACATCGCCTTCTCCTCTGGTGTCAGTTGCAGTTCCAGTATCTTCTCCACACCTCCAGCCCCAACGATACACGGCACCCCAACATATAGGCCGTTCACCCCATACTGTCCAGTCTGCATGAAACCACGCAAGCATGCAGAATGTCTTCATAAAAAGCAGTAAGCCAGAATTCAAAAAGAACAATAGTTGAAGGTGGAAATACACTAGGGAAAGGAAATGAGACTGCTATTGGCGCGTTATATGCCCTCAACCGTGTTCGCTTCTCCGGTCCGATCTCTCGTTCACTTGCAAGCATGCAAGCATGCATGCAGCGAAGCGGCCAATCGCTCATGCAACACAAAACCGGCATATAATCGGCAACCTAATGCCCCGCTTACGAGATAGGCAGCACAGGGGATAAGCCTCTTCTTGTCTTTAAGATATGCCTCAGCCATCAGCACCCCAGAGGCAGCTGGAGCAAAGAAAGCGGAACCGGCCTTCAAAAGACTGCAGAAGTTACGCATACGCACAACACTGCACACAAAGGACTCGCGTACTCTCGGATGTTCGCAGAGCTGTTGTACATAGCGCTGCATGGTTTCAAAGGCGCCCTTAACCTGCCTCCTTCTAAACCTCGCAATCCTCTTAATCAACTGTGCTGTACTCTGTACAGCGCAGCTGAAAGACCAAACCAACAGCTTTACATATTCACTACATATACATACTGAAGCACTCCCGCTGGTTCTCACTTAACAATCTCTCCGCCGCCATTTCGCGTGCGTTGCACAATGTCATCGACGTCTTTTTGCGTCAGTTGACCCATCGCCACCAAATCTGGCAACGGAATGCCCCCCACTGCATTGGAAACCCAACACAAGCCTCCGCAGTACACGCGGTATACATACACCACACGTACAGAGTGTTGAGGCCTACTAGGCTTCTCTGTCGATCCAGTTTGACATACACACCAACCTCTCATAAGCAGCGGGGGCTGCAGCTGGTGCAGCACCCGAGCAGTAGCAGCTGAGCTGCGGCTACGCTGCAGCAGCACGGCTGCAGAGGTTGGAGGTGCAGAGCTGCAGCACAGTTACAGCAGTAGCATCGGCTGCAATCGCATCACGCGCTGCAGCAAATTTGGAGACGCGCACCTGTGCAATATCTTGGCAGGGGCACCATGGCGTCTCCATGTCCCCCCATAACCATCGCCTGCACATCTTCAACAGACACCTGCAACCTCTCCGCCACAAAAGAACGAAAGCGCGCGGAGTCCAGCACCCCAGCCATTCCCACCACCTTCGCATGCGGCAGTCCACTGCGCTCCCTCATCAACTGCACCATTGCGTCTGGCATCCAACAAACACACACATTCATGCACCTCACAACTTATCAAGCACATCCCACATACGCGTGTCTGCACGACTATGTTTATGTATTATGTACGTGCAAGTGCATATATGAACCCTCCCTCGACCTGCCCAACATTGCATGTATGTGTAGAGTCGAGGTCTGAACTGAAATATAAAGGTGAAAAAAAATGTGCAAAAAAATACGTTTGGCACTACAGCATGAGTACCAAGTGGGTTTGTTATGCAAATCACGAAAGCGTCGGGTGCATGTATTTTAATGTTATCCGCCACTTCGGAGACTATCTTCGAGTTAATGCTGAGGAGGTCGTCGCGCGACATGCCGGGCTTGCGGGGCACCTGCAGCAGACGAAGAAAAGATCAGAAGGGCATTCATACGTATATCTACACACAGAAAGAAATCACAAACGAGGAGGACGCGGGGGCAGCTCATGAATACGCATGCCCACACATGTGAGGACATGCAAATATAAGCCATCTCAGCACACTGCACCAGCATGGAGAAACGTCAAATCGATATACACGGTAAACCTCACACAAATTCCATGACCATCAGCATGCGGTAAAGCGCAACGCACATCAAATATTTCACTACTCACAGCCGCAGCAAGCATTGGTTGAAACACCTAATAAGACACCACTGATGAAACCAAACTAGCCGTCATAAAGCTGAACAAGCACACAACATCCAGGGGTGATTTGCATACGCCAGCTGTAACGATGACAACATCTGCCCCTTGTAAAGCCACGAACTGATTTGAACCCGATACTCTGCTGTCCACCCCTTCCACGGGTCCAACTTGTGATATGTCCAACGCCTTCCCTTGCGGCATTCCTGAGAAGAGAACAGAAACACATCTGAAGACAGGTGTTCACTAACAACTTCCAAAGATGGAAGTGACATCGTAGGCACCATGCAGCGTCCACTCATTCGTCCTCCAAGCAGAGTTCGCTGTGACCCGTCTTTCTGCTTGAGAGAATCCTCGCGATGCGCCTTCAATGTGCTGTCAGCTGGGGGGTCTCACGCCCGGTGCAGCAGATGCTTTAACACCCGCCTGGCGAGCCGTGGGATGCTCATCCAAAACCGGCAGCTGAGCCACTGTACTCGTTTCAATTCATCACTTAATATCCTATAAGGTACATTATATGGAAAAGATACCAAACTAGGCGGCTGTCTGGAAGAAGGCGTGGATGACCACTCCCCCCTCATGAAGAACCGCGGAGAAAACCACTATACCTACCTTCCACTACATCGAAAATACTAACATCTCCCAATTCCTTTAGAGAGGAGAGAAACGCCAATACTGCTCCGATTTGTCCTCCGCCAACCAGTGCAATCTTTGGACGCCTCATTTTGAGCTTGTTGCAAAAGTTACGACGGAATGAATACCAACGAAGTTGGCAGGCAGGCAGACCACACCTTGACTGCAAGACCGCCTCAAAGCCTGGGCCTTCCGTTCATTCCTAGAAAATAAACAATTGTAAAATGATTCGAGACTCAACACAACAAAAAAAACGAATGACTATGCAGAGGGAGGCGCCCCCCACAGCCTTCCTCTGCTGATCTTCGCACGCTCACGTCCCAGTGGCTATTCAAGAGCCCCAGCGCCTAGTCGGCCCCTGAAGAGTGATTTGCCTCTTCTCTGAAATATATATTAAGATGAACAGCAAAATACACCACAGCATAGACGAAGACAGAGCACGGTACCCACAGCCTGCGCCACACTGTGCCTGTTGTAGAAGACGCGCGCCGGCATTTTAGCTCAGTGAAACAACATATGCACCTTTCTGCTGTGCATGCACGTAAAAGCTTGTAATCCAAACGTGTTTAGCGAATCAACTCGAAAATTCCACCAATATTTCAGCAAATGTTGCAATACTAACGGGACACGGGAAGCTACCCTGCTGGCTAGATGACGTTTCATGCCGATTTGGATACGAGTACGTTTGTAACAGACGCATAAACTGTTACGCATTGAATCGAGCTAGGGCTGGCAGAGCATATCCCTTCAGGTGTTAAAACGTGAACACTTAATAGGCCCTAGTAAGGCGGCCTGCACGCTAGCAGATGTTTCCAACAGTTGTCTACACTTTTGGCCATTGCAGCGAAGGTCAGGTTGAGCTTGCATGGGGAACTGGCTTGCACCCGTAACTCTAGCATGGTATTTTGGAACTAATAGCGCGCTTACTCCCGCAGTCGATGGCCCTCCAGGCCAGGTTGCTTACCTCGAGTATTTTGGCTTCAGGACAGCTATATTCTTGTCCTCATATACGGACAGGATTGAGGACTCTCATTGTAGCATGGGCAAGAGTGCTGCTAATTTTCTTGGATTACTCGAAGTTTGGCTATTGAGGGACAAGGAAGGTTGTAAAAGTTGCTAATTGTGTTGGCTCATGCACCGAAAGTTGGCTTGCATCATATGCATGTTGGGCCGCATCCAAACACATGCGGGAGCAACGTGGTTGCAGCTCTCTACAGCCCAGCTTTTCATCGCACAAGCACCAAACCAAGCCATGGTGCCGCTGTAAGCAGGATGCTGGAATAGTGGTGATGGTATCCTCTGTCCTATTGAAAATATTAGCTAAGAACAGCAGTAAGTTACTGGAGAGCCAAAACAACAAGATAACTTGGAGGACTCTCACTGTATGGGGTTAGTTATTTGCCAATGAAATGAGGTACAAGGCTGGACTCTACGCTGCACCGTACGCGCCCACGCCTGTAGGTGCCCTTGCTGAGTTCTAGAAGGTACGCATCTGCTCTCAAGGGGTTAAGCCTCTCAGGGGATCTTTCCGAACCCGCTTGGATTCGCTGAAGTTTATTTCGTCAAATGAATTCTGTGTAGCCTCTCCGCGTATTGACACATGTCTCCAAAATATGGCATTCCTCTCCAGCTGATCCTTCACCCAATCGGGCTGCTTCCGTTTTTGGAGAAAGCATGTACTATGTGGTCTCCTGTGATTTCCTAAACACGAAGCTAATGCTAGGGTAACATCATTGCTTTGGGGAGAAGTCTGCGTTGTTTGCTACTGCATCAACCTGCGAACTGCGAAGGGACAGGCCAAACATTTTCGAAAAGCGTGTGAATCCGCTAAACCAAAAGGGACCTATCTTGACTGTAACTACTGGACCGCGAGCGTAGGTCTGTGATTATCCGAAGGGGATCTGCTGGTCCTGTTGTCGCGACATTCTACCACATCACTGAGCCGCACGTTATTTTGGGGAACCGGCGTTTCCCTTATCAGCTTTTTTTTTTGCGTGGCGCTGCTTGAATGGCATGTTTATCCAGCTACGTAGCCCTTTCCAAATATGCGAAACCTCAGCTGATCGTGCCATTTGAAAAAGAAGCAGAAGCGTCCTCCTATTTGACCATCTCCTTGCCCTAAGAGTGCCGAACTCCCTTCTGCTGTCGCTTTATGCCTTTTGTCCTTTTCTGTGTAGGGTTAGAATTAATGGCCCCAATCCCCATCAGCTCATTGGCCTGATCATTTCCAGACTTCCTTCCTTGCGTGCTACTGGGACGGTAGTGGCATACATCCTCTCTTTAATGCGTAATGCGTACCACCGTATCCGCAAAGTCACCCCTTTCATCTCTTATCTCCATCACCGTTGCCCATCCGGTTACGAATTGGCTGGGTATACGAGCACTGTAAACAACAATTGAGGACTCTTGCATCCACCAGCGTGCCTACCATAGTAGGTGCCCTATAGGCAGGTGGCCTTGTAAGGTTTCATGCGTGAATGTCAGACTCCCCAACTTCGGCCAAAGAACGCTACACGATATAAACTGCCGGGCACTTATGGGATGTGAGCACGAATGATTGGCTCCAGGCCAAGGGACGGAGCTGTAGGTTGCCATTCCTACATTCCTTTGTATAAAACGTAAGTAAAAAGCATGCCAGAGATAACCCTTAGTAGACATACGTCAACCTCTAGTTCCCACTCATCGTCCAATGCGACCACCGGCGCGTAGGCACAGTGCACCGCATAAAAACCCCAAGCAAGTAGACTACAGGTCGTTGTATGCCTACACAAGGTTATCCCTGGCATGTTGCCTACATGTTTCTAAATACAGGAATGTTGATTGTGTTCTCCACATTCGGAGTTATGCTTACTTCTATACATACACTATGCTCTGATTGCTACGATTCATGTGTGTTGCGTAAACATCGAAATTCAGGGTTGGGTGTGTCCAAGATAATTGGACTACACCAAGGTCAGCTCACCGCAGAGCAGCAGAGCTGAAATTAACGTTAGAGGCCCACCTTAGGCCACTGCGGACGCAAAGTGACAAAGGATCGTCTCCAGTTCAAAAGCAACTGGCGATGGCAATGCATCTGCTGGTGGGAGACTGAACCCCATCCGTCACTCACTGAGTGCCATCCCTTCGCAACTACTCAAGAGCTTACGCACAAATAGGAACATTACACTGTTCTTCTTTAGAGACAAGAGTACGTTATGGTTATAAGCCCCCCGCGAACTTGTCAGCCTCTTCCCTGTAGCCCGTAAGGAAAGCCAGGGATCCTCGACTCAACTATACATTCCTCACAAAGCCCTTGTTCATAGCCCCAATGCAGACTGGAAGTAAGGAAACGCTCTCATAGGCATAGGAAGCGTTTCCATCTATTCTATATGGAACGACTTGCATATAGGGAGCAGTGTCTCAAAACCATATATGCAAACCATACGTCTCAACACCCTTTCAGTGAAGCCCCACGAGAGTACGACACCAGGGAGACGGGACAGAAAGGGGCGAAGCGTAGTGCCAGCTATATGTGAATCACAAGCGGGTTACACAAGAATGACAGCGTTTGCCTCAGTTCACGGATGGCCTGTAGCCGAAGGGCATCAAAACAGCACAACCCATCACAAACGCCTTAATGCTCTTTCCCCTTCCCGTTGTCCTGTACCAACTACACCATATGGGGAGGGCCAGAGCTAGCTTGCTCGCTAGCTAACCTGCAACCGCTGTAGTGGTCCATATGCCTCGTTGGGCAGCGAGCTACCTAACTGCACAGCTGGAAATACAAATCGGCCACTACCAGCTACACCTCCTGTCTGGTGAAATGGCTGGGCCCTTGGTGGCGTTCTTTATTCCGCTTGATTGTGCACTTGAAGAGGCAAGAAAAACACGTCTTCCTGTGCCTCACTGGGCCGCCTTCTCCTGTACGGAGGCGATCATAACGCCATCTGCGCATGCACATGCCCCAAAGTTGAAAAACACAAGGGTTAATCTTCAGTTCCCAACTGTTCGATCTTACTCGCCTCACTCCCTCCGAAAGACTTCTGCATGCACACTGCGCAGTGCCTCCCTACTGAGCCGCTCACAACTGGAGGTGGAATCGTGGATCAGGGCAGCAATATAAATTCACGAGGTACAACAAGACGCCGATGAAACAAATACAACGAAACATAATTATGTTCCCACATACTCACATTGCAATGGAAAGTGAGTATCTCACGAAAACTTCACCTTCTGGCAACACACGAACGAATAGAATGGGTTACTTACTAAGTCTGTCAACTTGTTTCCGAAGCTGTTCAACGTTTTGCTCGTCAATAACCCATCCATCCTTGAGGGCTTCCTCTGCTTTTGTCTTGGAAAGTGGGACAACAATAATAAAATGCAAGAGAGAGAAGTTTGGGGAGCGGCCTTCAGGCAGGTGGCGGAGAACCTGCATCTGCTGCAGCACCTTCGGCGCCGTTACGTCAGCAACTTCTTCTGATGAGTCCTGGAATATCGTCGGTTTACCGCCCCCCTTCTCTTCCATTTTCTTTTCCTTTGTTCCTTCTTGCTTTTCATTGCCGTCAGAGACAGTCGGAGCCTCCTCCTTACTGCGACGTTCGGTTGCTGTCTCCTCATTACCCACACGCTCCGCTGGACCCTCCGCTGCATCGAAGAAACGGAAGAACAGAACAGTGGATTTACAGACAAACATAAGACCGAAAAACAAGAGAATACCCACACGCGAAGAGGCATATGAACGAACAAAGAAACGGACAAGTGATAGTGAAGCTAAAAACGGCGCGGATTACCGGATGGCGGCATGCCGCTCCATATGTGCCCCGACTAAAAAAGCGACCATGAATTTAAACAAGGGTATTACCTCCTGCTTGTGCAGAGGTCCCCTCTGTCTTGCCGTGTTGAGCCTCTTCTCCTGTTGGTTCAGTCCCCGCATTTGTCTGCGATGTCTCATCACCGTTATTGCCCACAGTTTTATATCCATCATCGCCGTCTTTAATGCCAGCCTAAAAAGAAAAGGGTTTTAGGCGAAAGGCGAAGTGCACAAATAACGGAACCAAGCTGCACCTGAAGGGAATATTGATGCAATACTGCTGGTCGGTTGCGCCGGGACGTTGGGATTGGTCTCATAAATCTAACGCATAGTCGAAAGCTGGGCTACATGCAAGAGGAGGACTCATAACTGGGCTGTGAGGCCAGTGCTGGTCAGGCGGGACACGGCAAAAAACCGTTTAATTCCCCATACACTGAGGTGTGCTAACCACGAAGATCCATAGCCTTCAAGGTCCTACAAATGCAGACTTCCAACAACTAGCTATAGGGATGCATACACGCGATATTTTGTTTCCAGCTTACAGCCTCGTGGCGCTCGGATACGACCAGCAGGACAGAAAACGGAGCACCTGCCATTGCAGCATAGGCATGGATATAACCAGAATACACACACATCAGGCGCAGACACTCCATTACCGCCTCGCAAACTTTCTTCTGGCCGTCAGCGTTCTTCATTGCCACCTGGAGACAATGCAGAAGGTGCCATGAGGCGGACACAACAAACAGCAAACGCACCAACGGCCAAAGGCAACTGAAATGAGCAGCGAGGAACAATGAGTGCTGGAAACAAAATCGTAGCAGAATCACCTGACTACTACAGAGGAGGGAAAAAGCAATCATTTTTGTTGCTTTTACAAGCAGCAACGTCAAATCGGGCTGCCACACGACTAAGCCCTCCAATACTGTAAGATGTACTACTGCAAACGCAACTGAGTCCACATCCAGTGTTAGTGGCATGAGGCTTGGCTACCGTAATTCCCATCTTTAGGGTTCTTCTGCCGTTCTGCAGCGTGAACCTCGACTCCTTGATGTTGACATAAGACGGAGGTTTAATTTGTAACAGAAGCATATCTCCTTCCGCTACATCCGGCCTATTGTGTGAGTATTGCTGTACAAGAGAAGGCATATTATTTTCTTGAATGAGTAACAGATAGACACCATCGCCGTCTCCCGTACTGAATTCCTTTGCCTGTAGTGCTGCAGCTGGTGCATCCGCAGCAGAACCAGTAATATACGGCTTCGAGCAAGCAGCTGAGGCCCCAACTGTTTCCTTTTGGGTCATGTTTGCGTCTGGTGGCGAGCCTGAAACCTCTACTGCAGCTTTTCGCGTCTTTGGTTCAGCTGCAGCGGTTGGTTTTCCACACGTAGCCCCCATTTCCGTGAATGCTGCACAACCTCCTGGAGTAGCGGAGAGCTGCACAACACGACAACAAGGAAACTAATAACGGAATATTCTGCGAATGCGTTGTAGTGTTAAATTCAACTGAAACGGCAACAGTCGCGATACTGGGTGGACTAGCGGCGTTAGCAGCGCGCTGAACTCATGGAACTGCGCCGCTTCCCATAGGAAAAATGGGAAGCTCTTGAGTATATAATGAGAAAAAGAAAACAGATCTATCAAAATAAAGGCGTGCCGAGGTATACAAGCGATAAGGGAGCTGTGGTTTGGTCCAGGCTGGTCCGGATTAACCGTTGTGCTGCTGCACCCAAGCTTACCGAAGTGATGATGGAACTGTCGTTCAGGATTTCCGTTGAGACTCGATACTGATTTGACTATGTCAGTTAGGAAGAGTCACTCAACTGGAAAACTAACATTGAACTGGAAGCCCCATCAAGGAAGAGGCAAAGCAGGGAGAGCTCCTCGACTTACATGCAGATTCCAACTGTGAGCTCATCTCCGTTTGTTGCAGGTTTCCCCTTAAGTTTGAGAAACAAGCAAACTGAATCAAATTCTAAATTATACTATTGCAGCATACTCAATTATCTGCGATGTATGCGTCGGACTGGAAATCCCCATTGGCGCAACTGTCTCCAGCTGTCACTATGGATGCTAAGGCTTAGCCAGACACGAGGAAGTCCTTCCCTTTGCAAACAGCTACTCACCAACAAAATTGCCAAAAGTGTGAACGAGAACTAGCATACAGGAGCTAAGCTTATTCTCATTAGTTCAGGGGCCGCAGAGTGCTCACCAGAAAGGTGCCGGATGTGACCACCGAACCATTGGGGTAGAGCTTAGGGAAGAGTAAAATTGGAGGGGCAACTTTATTAGTTGGTAATAAAACTTTGGTGCCTTCAAGTTGGGGAAACACCCTCAAGTGTTGTCTTTGCCGGGTTGCAGTTGTCCGCCACAGCGTTGCAACGCTTCCATTGAGACAAGCTAACCCGCTTTTTCCCTCTCTTATCAATCCGAGCCATCTGGTAAAGTGATGCACCGGAGATTTATAAAGTAAACGGAGGAACAAAGTAGCGGTTTAAGCCGATGCTTGACTGCGTACTGTCTCATCTCCAACACCCTAGGGCATCTGTCCCCCTCTTGCAGCAATTAAAGCATCGGATGTACGTAAAAGAAATTTCGCCATCAGGCCTCTCCTGGACCCATTACTGGATTTACGTTGTGACGGGGATGAGACGCCTTGCACAATGTGCTGCCGCTCGAATTTGCCTGAATTTCCTGGCTTTTGCGCTTCTCAAGCAACGGATTTCTGGAATTTTGTGACCTTACTTATTCTAGGAGGAGCAGGAGAGACGTTGAAGGCTCTCCCCCTTTTCCCTGAATGGCATGTTTCTGGTTCTCGCCTTTTCTCAGTTTTTGTCAGTTTGTGTGGGAGAGTTGGCACTTCCAGCGTCAGTCTTCATAGGCTCTATATCTGTTGCATTTACGAATTCCTGTTCTTCCTCCTCATAGAGTTGTCTCCTCCCTTTCCGAGGCCTAAGAACCCCATTAGCTCGGGGGGGTTCCACAATTGCTCCAGCTAGGTGTACACAGCCAGTTGCTGGTTGCTTCTTTGGGATATCCCTACGCCGAACCGTTGGGATGGAACCTCTGACTTCACCGTTGGGCTTCTGTTCACCAATGGAGGATACTTGTTGATGCATTACTATATCCATGACTTAACTTGCTTAATTCGTCCTAGTTCTTCCCCACCCTCTCCACTAGCCGGCCTCTCCAAAGCATGGAGTTAAAACTACTTCACATCGCGTCTCAGACAACTTCCCATGCTCGGACGTACATCAGAAAAATACTGCCTTTTCTCAGGGATATTCATCTGGGTGTTTTTTTGCATTTTGAGAAGTACGACATGCAGTTCATCAGTCTCGGAATGGCGCCTCCAGAAAAGCAAAAGTTTATTTCACTCCCCCTGTCTAGCGGCACACGCCAACATGGACGGCTGGCAAAGGGGAAGGCGTTATTGGCAAATTGTTTCTAACATTCAGACGCTTTCGTTTGGACGCATAGGTGATAGTGCGCTTGCTTTAATGCGCACGAGAGGAAAAGACGTTAAACTACTAATCAGTGCAATACACCAACCTGCCTGGATATGGGAGGTGGGCTTGAGTCAGGGGCATTAGCTGCGGACTGCCATGACTACTTTGGTTTATGTCGCCATGGATTCCCTTTCCCACGTCATCCTCTGGTCATTCTGGGATTCCACTTCATATGTGGCCTTTCACAGACTACAGGGAAATCTAAGTGGCAGCCAACCACATAGTGTTGTAGGCAGGCCACACGGCCTACGTTAAGTACAAACAAACACTGCTGTAGATTCAGCATGACTGTTGGTGGAACGAATTCGATCAGGCGCCTCTGTAAAGGCTCTTCTGCTGTTTGTGCTACGTGAAGAGTCTGCTAAAAAACAATCTGTCGTCGAAGCTCTGAAGTGAAGCTGTGACGGCAGGTCCATGCCGTGAAGTCTGGATACTGGTAGTCAGTTTATGCAGGGCCTTCCTTCCGAAGCTGGGTGACGCGGTGAGAAGCGTGTGTATGTGTGCGATTCCCAGCAGGCAAGATGGTCACTGCCGCTTAACAGTACCTGTGGAACTGGGGTTAGAAATACCCTTCTCTACTACTTTGCTGCAGCGCTAGCTAAACTGGATGGAGTATGCTAGGTGAGCTGCACATCAGCTTATACCGCCCATCAAACGCCTGCACGCTGATGCTGCCATCCTATCACTACTAGAACGCAGATATTCCCGCAGCTTTGCTGTTTTGCTGTAAATTTTGTCAGGCCTTCCGGATAAAACAAATGAGCTAACATACATTTTGCAATGTTGTGGCTTCTCTAGAAAGTCGGTAACTCCTTGTAAATATCCTTCTGAGTGCCATCCTATTGTAGTGAGAATAAATTAAAATAAAATAAAGTGCACAGCCCATCCGTGGCCACGGAATAGTTTTTGCTTGGGAAGTGAGCAGCTCTTTGCAAGCAAAGGCCCGTACCTGGTGCAATTGACATGGCAGGCTACCACTAGCCACTGCAAAACCACTTCACAATCTGCCTGCCAGAGCGCAACCGTGCACGACGCGGGATCTTGCACGCCAGCAGAAACAAATGAATTTCCAGCCACAAATTCTGTAATGCTGGCAAGAGCAAAGGCTTGCAAGCATCACTGTGCACCAGAAGCGTGCTTGGGTCCGTTGGGAGAATCCACGTTTAGAGGATTTTGCCTCTTCGATGCTCGCCACTGCCTTCACGCGGTCGCCCTATATTTGAGCTGAATGAGTATAGTGAGCGACAAGGTTAGGAGTCATTCACCGACAGAACTCTCCAAATATCACCTTACCATATGCAAATCGAACAGCAAAGCAAGCCCATGCTCTACAGGCATCCTCCATCGTGTATCCACGGAATCCATTGACGATCCTTTAATCTATGGCGCCCTGATTCAGAGCAGAACAGCAGTCTTTTTAGCTCAAGCACTTCAAAAGGATGAGGGCGTTCTCCGCGTTTGTAGATATCCAGTGCAGCAACAAGCCGTCTTGCCAAGTTCCTGTGGATATTCGCCAATCTGCCTCCACGTGACCCTGCAGGAGGTATAGGGATGTCGGTTTTGAAGCTATTTGCGAATTTGTCCCACCAGTGATCAAACGGCATATAGTCCCCCAAAATTTCCTTGGCGCACACGAGTGCATCGAATATCATCATATACCTACCTAAACCTTCAACAATGGCTATGGGAGCGTTAGTTCTTATTCCCCTTCGGCTCTGGAACCAAGATGTGACCACGAGCAACTCCACTGCAGTTACAAGTTTTTCTGCATCCTGTTGGTTGAGTGTCTCCTTTAAAAATAATTCCCGCAGACTCAGCAGGTAATCATGGAAAGAGAACCGCCTTGGCTTCGCACTCAAGAGGACAGCTGTTCGGACGGATCTGGGAACGACACCGTTTTCCAGCACTGGCAATCGAACATAAGGATGGTTTCGAATGCCTCCAGAGAGAAGCATTTCTCTTAGACTCCCACTATCAATCATTTCGCTGGGGTTCCCAAGACGGGGTAGCTTCGACTTGTGTAAAACTGACGAGTTTCCAGTATGCGCCTCTTCGCGAACAACTGAGAAAGACCCAGCTCCTTCCTGCTCGTCAAGCAGAAGGTCAGCGGTTGGGATTGCATCCATCCACGAGTCGGGATCCAGAGAAGGATTCACACCATGGAATCCATCGTGTTCAACAAATGCCCCCAGTGGAGTAGTTTTCAGGTGTACCTGCTCACCATATCCATGTCCAAAACTGCCTTGGTCCGCCAGCGACTGCCTGCTTGAGGGCAGTTGTGTTCCAACAGGAAAATTTCCTCGTATTGATTCTTTCTCTGCGGCAGCCTCTGATAGCATTGAGATTAGCTCTGTCACCCGGTTTTGCGAGTCACGTCTAGAACTCGAAACTGCTCTTTGGTGCAGCAACCCCATATCGGCTTCCAAGTCTAAGCAACTTTCTATGATAGAAAGGGCATGTTCATCGACATCTTCCCCGCCTTCAGACAGCCGCCGGTGTGCAGCTCCAGCCCAACGTTCTTTATTTCTTAGATATTTGCATACTGACAAAGATGCTAAAATTGCTACAACTGAGATGGCGGTAGCGAGGACGGCACGGAGAGACAGGCTATGTATCTGTGATCGTGCAGGGGATTTCTTCCGTGGTGCAGGATCGGCCACCAGACTCCATGTATCCTGATCACCATAAAGAACAGACGCCATTAAAGATCCACCCAATGCTCCAGTTGTTGCTAGACGAAGTGACGATTTCGGACTTTCCAGATGCTGCCGATTGTCTGAAGACACCATTTCAAAGCGGGCAGTGAGGGCATTCCGGGGAAAATGGTTCCTCCCACAAGAAGAAATAATCGGGGACTATAGTTATACATTTACTTGCTAGTATTGAAAGAACATTTACTGTGGAGACGTTGCAAAATAACAGCTCCCGATGTTCGTGATAGGGCTAACAGCATGCTCGTGCATTCTGGTCGCAGCCCTTGCAACGTTTGGCAGAGCACGTGCTTCCGTGTGTCATAGCTCTTCCCAAAAGTGCTGCAAGTAATGTAGTAATGTTAACTAATTAATAACTGAAAGGTGCTCTACAGGCTGCGGAAAGAAGGAAGGAAATAACGACGCTTTTGTTTTGCACTTTCCCCACCTGCGCAGGAGACTGACGACTGTTGGTGTAGTGCCCAGCTGGCCAACGCTGTCACTACGTGAGATTCCTGCCAATACCGAATAAGTGCACACACTATAATCAAATACCTAAATCTACAATTCTAGCTGCAAACACTAATAAACACAATTAACAACCAAAATTACGATCGAGTTTCTATTATTGTTCCGAAAGAAAACCCAGAATAATAGAACTGATGCTCGACCCTCGCCTGAGGGCCGGGGCGAGGGTCTCAGCGTCGGCCTAAAACGCAGCCCCGAGCTAGGTGCCGGCAGGAAAGCACTCTGATCACATTAGTCTGTTTTCCTATCTAAAAGTGTCTTAATCCCTGATATATTGCATATTGTTCATCCCTTTCCATGATATCGGGCCTCTAGAGGGCATGCCTGAGCTCCATTGTAGTGCCTTTCTACTACTGTTGGCAATGTACCAACCTCTCGATTGCGTCAAGAGAGAGAAACCCGCGTCTTCTTTGTTGCACATTTATACTGTGGGGGAAATAGCATGTCCCTGGTTCTCACAGCTTATGGGCGTGTGGGCATCTTGGGAAATTACCGCACGAGTTGCCACCTCTCTTCATCAGCACTTGCTGATAACATTCTCCAACATACTAAGGTTGGTCTTCAACCGGCAAATATAGCTTAGAGCTCTCTGAAACTTCCACTAAGCCACTAAAAACACGGCCACTGCAACGTTTTCGTCTTCATCATGTGTTACACTGCCACGACCCAAAGCTTCTTACACGCTCATCTCTCCAGGTGTGACCAGGACGTTCTCTGTCTCCCCACTGGACACAATAGAAGAGGCAATTCCTTGCATATGCCTTTCAGTTCCATACACGATCATGCTGACTCTACGGAAGTGTTTCCTTGTGTGCACCCACACCGTATGTCCTGTCAAAACCGTCCACGAGTAGGGATTCACTTGAAGCCTCCCCCTTTTGCGTGAAACACCCTTTTGTGAAACTGGAAGACATATGCAAGTTCAACTGAACATCAGTTTCTACCGCTCATCAAACGCCTGCACGCTGATGCTGCCATCCTATCACTACTAGAATGCGGATATTCCCGCAGCTTTACTGTCTGCTGTAAATTTTGTCAGGCCTTCCGGATGAAACAAATGGGCTAACATACATTTTGCAATGTTGTGGCTTCTCTAGAAAGTCGGTAACTCGGTTAAATATCCTTCTGAATGCCATTCTATTATAGTGAAAATGGAATAAAAGAAACCAAACTGCACAGCCCCATGGCGGAATAGTTTTTGCTTGGGAATTGAGCAGCTGTTTACAAACAAAGAACCGCACCTGTTGCTTTAAACATTACCGGCGCTTCTGCACTTTTGCGAACCTTTCTCACAATCTGCATACTATGGCGCAACGCGACACGGTATCTTGCACGTCAAGGCAAAGGCTAGTGAGTTGACAATCGTTAATTCTGTAGTGCCAAAGATACCGATGGGACTGCGAGCATCACAGTGCACCAGAAGCGTGCTTATGTGCGTTTAGAAAATCCAATGTAGGATAATGCTGCCTTCTGCGCTTCATTGCGTCCACGCAGTTAACTTACATGTTTTCTGGGCTGGGCATTTATCCTAATATATTGGTCAGTGACAGGCCTAGACGTGATTCAGAGACGAAAAAAACCTCTGAGAAGCATTCTGCAAGCATCGTCTTGTAAAAGTGCACCGACCAAAGAAAACGCCCGTGGATCAGGTCATTTCTCCATCTTTTCGCCAGTCGTCCCATTTGCCATCCTTTAACCGATGGCGTCCCAATGGATAGCAGAACAGCAGCCTTTTCAATGCAACCACCTCCATAAGTGGAGGGCGCATTCCTTGCTTATAGATTTCCAAGGCAGCCACAAGCCGTTTTGCCAACTCCGTGTTGAATCCAGCTAATTCGGTCATACCAACTGCTGAAACGGGAAAATCGTAATTCGTGTGAAAGGCTGATACGTATGTGTTCCACCATACCGGAAGTAGCATGTACTGCCCCAAAACCTCGGCTGTACATACGATGGCATCGAACGCCAAGAAATAATTACCCAAGGCTTCAACCAGGTAAATGGGAGAGTTACCTCTTGCTCCCTTCTTCCCCTGAATCCAGGATGAGATTATCAACCGTTCAACTGCATTCATGAGACTGTTGACATCCATCTGGTTCAGTGTCTTCTGCAAAAGTAGGCTCCGTATCGTAGCCAGGTGGGTATGGGGTGACAACTTCCACGGCCGCTGTACAAAGAGCGACATTGCATCGATATACCTAGGAAAGACACCTTCCCCCAGCACCGGAAGCCGAACATACGGGTGACTTCGAATGTCTCCAGTCCAAATGATTTCCTTGAAGTCACGCCGGTGATATCGTTGCCATGGGGGTACTGCTGGTGCATGCTCAGTCCTTCTCTCGTCATCAGTAACCGGGGAAAACCCATGTCCTTCCTGCCCTATAGACTGAAGGCCAAACCTTGGAGCAGCATCTATCCAAGAGTTGGGGTCAAGACCAGGTGTCACCATACTGGACTCGCCATGTTCAGCAGATGCGTGAATTAAAGGGGTTTGCATGTGTACCAGCCCACCATCTGCAGGTGCAAAACCGCTCTGGTAGCCCAGCCACTGCTCGCTTGAGGGCAGCTGCACTGCAATAGGAAGACTTCCGTGCATAGACTCTTGCGCTGCGGCAGCCTCTTGTAGCATCGACACTAGCTGCGTTACCCGGCTGGATGAGTCAATTGTCGAACTGGAAATTGCCCTCTGCTGCAGAAGTCCCATCTCGGCCTCCAAGTCCAAGCAATCCTCTATCACGGAAAGTTCATATTGATTGACACCTTCCCCGCCTTCAGCCAGCCTCCGGTGTGCCATCCCGGACAGCCGATCTCTGGTGCGCATAGCTTTGCATATGCTAAAATATACTAAAATGGATAGGATGGAAACAGTGGCGGCCAGGGACACAAACACCGACCGGTTCCGGCGTCGAGGTGCAGGGCAATCTCGCCGAGCTGAAACCGGCTGCCGACTGCTGCCATGACAAGCATCGGCAGTAGACACCGTTAAACTGCCCTCCAATTGTCCATTCATTGGGGGATGGAGTAACAGTTCCGGTGTCTCCAGATGCTGTTGATTCTCTGACGACCGCATCCCAAACGGGACAGAGGTGGGATTCCGGGGTAAAGGCTTTCCCCATCAAAATATGTTATAACGTATGTTGTAAGTTAAGAAATAAAAAGGTATATCGGCTTCCCAAAATGTGTAGCTGCGTCCACGGTGGAGGTTTCACAAAACATGAGTTCCAGATGTTCTTGAGAAGACTAACACACAATCAGCTCGACTGCGGTGCACTGGGGTCACGCAACGCATGGCACACCCCGTGAAATGCACGTGCTTGGGTGTGCTAGAACTAGTCCAATGAATCGAGATATTTTATAGCAGGGTTAGTTGTTTAATGACTAAAAGGTTGTCCACAAACCGCGGAGAGCAGTAGGAGGCAAACAGGGGGGTGAGAGTTCCCCACTCCGTAGATAGATCAACGTAAGCTGGCAATATCTGCCGAGCTATCATTTGTTTCTAGAAGGCTTACTCCAGATTTTCTTCGTAGCAAATTTATAGTGGGATAAAATACCACACCCTTGGTTTTCACTGTTTGTGTGCGTATAGGCCACCTGAAAACGTCGTCAATTTTTTTGTCCACAGTGGTGCCACCTGCCTTCGGCAACGCTCTGTCTGGACTTCCCACCCTACAAACACCGATATTCAGTTGACAAAACACAATTTAGGCCTCTACAGGAGGCATTAACAATCCGCTTAACACATCAACACTCGTGTCTTTCCGTGGCTACACGTGCCACCATAACGAGCGATTCCGATACGGTTGTCTCTGCAGGTGTGGCAGGAATGTTCCCTTTGTTTCTTCAGTAGGCACAATGGAAATTACAAAACTTCTCTACTTTAGCCGTGGATAATCATGAGTCAAGTGCCTTGAAATATGTGCTCTGCGGAAGAATGCTCGTTTTCCCTGCTGGAACCCAGATGAACACGGCACACGAAGGGCCACCTGCAGCTCCAGAGAGGATGTAGCCTCCTTCGCACACCCTGCTACAATTTTATCCTCAAGGAGATCACGCACACAACCATGCCTGACGACCCACAACCTGTATGCACTAGCTCGTACGCTGCACGGAAGCTTAGCACGGAAGGAAAGCTTAGTACTGGGGCCACATCGTAAGAAAACAAACACTTCCTGTTGAACTGGCACCTCAGTGGCCCTGCAGCGCTCGTTGGCCGAAGGCTGACGATTTTCATTTGGAAAGAATGCGTGTCACAAGTCCGGAGAGAGAGCCATTGGCAACAGGAAGCTTGTGCCCTACTTTCCCAGCAGACAGATGGGTGAATGCCGCACTTTGCTACTTCCGCTAGTGCTGCATGTGGGTTGGGAGCTCACCTTGCTTGTGACCACCTGTGTTGTTGATGTTCTCAGAATTGCCATGCGAGTAGACGATGCCGAATGTGGGATTCGCCGGGAACCGTAGGGTTTTGTTTTGTAGCAGGAAGTATCATAATGGTAAATTTTGCTAGTGGGAGTGGGCGGGATAATACAACAGCAGAGAGGGTGCAGAGGACCAGCCCCTGCAGCCGAACGAGCGAAACTGGATAGACTACAAGCTTCCCGCGCAGCGGCGATAATTCAACCGGGGAGGAGATCAGGAGAGATATTTTACTTTTCTGAGTTCAGGGAGTCCCAGTAACGAGAGTGGATGCGACGCCCACTACAGCAGTAACTAGAGTAGTAAACAAGGCAAATGGGTAAATCAACTTCAAGCCTATTTCACGATTGCGTAACTGTCAGATAGTTGTGAACGGAAAATTACTAGCAAATCAAGACGCGATAAGCAAGGGAGCCAAACAACGCTGGTTCAGCGTCTGTGAGTCTTTGGATGAGTAATTCGCTGGTATTCTTGGGCTCGCATTTTCTAGGGGGTTCATTCATGCTTCTTTCTTGAGACACTCGAATTGCTGGTAGCTGTGCCTTGTGGTTTCGGCACGATTCATTCGATTGACAAAGGCCTATTCGGCTTCTACCTCTGCGTTACGTACAGTAAGTCGCCTGGATGCCGCATGTCGACTGTACGGTGACTCCATGGAAGTAAACGCGAGCCACAGCGTCTACGTGGAGTGCATATACTCCTGTTGAGATTTCATTGCAGTAAACGGCTCCACTGTAACTGTTCTTCTTCTGTCCGTGGCGCGTCACACGCCTGTTGAAGAATGCGTCGTCTATGGTATGACGGCTGTGAAGGCTGAATACAGCAAAATTATCCTTCCGAAGAATGAGTGCTGGAAATCAACCTTTGATCTCTGCTCTGATCTACCAGTGAAGAAAAAGCGGGGTGGTTTGGATTTTGTCCCTGTTCGATTCCAGATACGTAACATGGTACTTACATCCCACGCAGCCTACTTCTGATACTAGTTATTAATGCGGCCTTTTCGACTACTGCGCTGCACAACCACGCAGCCTATTCGGACTTAGTTTGCGTCAACGTTGTCAGATAAGCCGGAATGCATGCAAAGGTAACTTTGCACGTGCCACTACCGCTCACCAGGCGTCTGCAACCACATGCTACAATCCTACCACAGCTGCAGCTGGATTGTGGAGGCATCTTCCACACCTTTTGTACAACTTGCCATTCTTTCTGAATGAAAGAAGTGGCCTAATTCGGATTTTGCAAGCTTGTGTCAACTAAAGAACATCGGCAACTCCGTCAATGCATCTTGTGAATGCAGAGTATTGTCGTGTGACGAAGCGCACACAATCTCCACAGCCGCATGTTTGCGCAAGAAATCATTATCGGTTGGGAAGTGAACTAAGGAACTGCACCTCCCACATAAGATATATCAGGTTTTTTATGTGATTGCAAACCTTCGTCACAATATGCCTACCATGGTAGAAGGATTTTGCTGCATCAACAACTCGCCATTGTGTTCAAGCAACGGCGTTACGTTTCTGAGCTGGGAGAGTACTGCCCTGGTCTATGGCAGGGCTAGGCATGGTTCTAAAAGGGAGCTCTAATAATCGTTTTGGAAATGCCGCAGTTATCGTGTGCCAACATTCAAACCAAATAAAGAATGTCCAAGCTTTCTAGGAAGAACATTCTCCATCTCGTCTCCAGGGATCCCACCTAGGATCCTTTAAACGATGACGCCCAAGCGGATAGCAGAACAGCAGCCTTTTCAGCGCAACCACTTCCTCAAGTGGGGGGCGTTCTCCTGTTTTGTAGGTATTCAGAGCCACGATAATCCGTCTTGAAAATTGTGCATGGAACTCCGCTAATTCGGTCAAGCCTAGCCCTGGAGGAGTCAGGCGGAAAGTCGTATCAAAACTGGCTGTGAAATCATCCCACCACAGATGAAGCTGCATGCTATTGCCCAAAATTTCTGCAGCGGACAAGATGGCATCAAATGCTATAAAACAATTGCCTAAGTGCTCAACTGTGTGAATGGGAGAACGCCCCCGTGGTCCTCTTTGGCCCTGCAACCACACTATTGGCACCACCTTCTCGATGACGGTCACGAGATGATCTGCTTCGTTCTGGTTCAGCGTCTCCTTTGCGAATAAATTCCGAATCGCGAGCATGTTAGCATAAAGTGACAGCCTCAGTGGCCGCTGGTAAAACAGCGTGGATACTTCTAGGTTTTTGGGAACAACTCCTTCCTCCAGCACCGGCAGCCGAACATACGGGTGGCTTCGAATGTCACCAGACCAAATGATTTCCTTGAAGCCACGAACCCGCCGTCGCTTCCGCGGAGGTATATCTGATTCCTCGTCAGTCTCTGATTCGTCATCAGTAGCCGAAGATGATTCATCCATTTCCTGTTCACTACTATGCGGGTCAATCCTTGGAATAGCACCTATCCAAGGCTCGGGATCCAGAGCAGAAGCCACAACAGTGGATTTCCCACGTTCGACAGATGCCAGCGTTGGAGGATTGTGAGCATGCACAGGCTTATCAACTTCAGGCTCAGAACAGTTGTGGTCATCTACCTCCTTCTCGCCCGGGTGCAGCTGACTCTCAGCAGGAAGACTCCCTGACACTGATTCCTTCGCTTCGGCCTCTGATAACATTGAGACTAGCTGGGTTGCCCGGTGAGGCGGTTCACCTCTAGAACTCGAAACTGCTCCTTGTTGCAGCACCCCCATAGCAGCCTCCAAGTCTAAGCAACCTTCTACTATGGAATTCACATCTTTTTCAGGCCCCTGCTCGCCCTCAGCCAGCCGGCGTTGTGCCTCTCCTGCCAAATGTTCTCTGCTCCTAAGAGCCTTACATGTGGAGAAGGATACTAAAATTGCTACAACTGAGATGGTGGTGGCGAAGACGACACGGAGAGACAGGCTGTGTTCCCGTGATCGTGGAGGGCATTTTTGTTGCGCTGGATCGGCCACACCAGTCCAAGGTTCCTGACGAGCATGGAGACTAGACTCCATTAAACTTGCCTTCAGTTCCCTCGTAGTTGCGAGAGGAAGCGATAATTGTAGAGTTTCTCGAAGGTGTCGATTGTCCGATGACCCCATTTCAAAAGGGACAAGAGGAGCATTCCGGGGCCAAGGTTTCTCTCAACGGAAGAAATATTTGGGGAGGGTATATACGAGTATATTTTTTGAGTTTTGAAAGTACATCTACTGTGGAGACGTCTCAAAACAAAAGCTCTCGATCGTGACGGGCTAGCCGCACGTTCGTGCATTCAGGTTGCAGTCATGGCTACGTTTCACACACCCCGTGTAGCGCACTTGCTTGGGCGTGCTATACCTTCTCTAGTGAGTTCTGCTAGTGTGTAATAATTTTAATTATTCAATAACTGAAAGGTTGCCAGCAAGCAACGGAGAGCTGTATCAGGGGAAAACACCAACGCTGTGCGCAGCATTTTCCCCACCGTGTCTTGAGCGACGACCGCGGGCAATAACTACCGAGATATCAATTGCTTCTAGAAGGTGTAGACCAGATTTTCTTTTCAACACATTTATACAGTGTGATAATAGGCCACATCCTTGATTATCGCGGATTATGAGCGCATGGGCCACTTGAAAAATTCGCCCGTAATTTTGTGGCGTCTTCAGCAATGCTCTGTCTGGATTCCCCAACCTACTAATGCTGATATTCAGCTGGAAAACACGATTTATTCATCCAAAAGAAACATCGTCAATCCACTTAAAACATCGTCGCTCAAGTTGTCTCCTGTCAATTCCTGGCTACCCATGCAAGAAGAACGAGTGGTGCGGATTTTTGCAGTCACAACGAGAGCACACGCGAATTCTTCCAACAAGTCCCTTCAATTCCTGCCTGAAACAAACACCATATACAGTCATACATGCTTGGGCAAATGATGCATAAGCTAGCGCTGTAGAGTCGTATACGTTTGCCACCCATCAAGCGTCTGTATACGCAACAGTAGAAACGCATATAGCACACTTATACAGACCATATTGGGCGGGCGTCCCCCGTTGAGGAAGAATACCTCCATACAATGTGGTCAAATTCACGAGCACGTGGCAACGAGTAGCTACCTGGGAGATGGGGTCCCCGAGGGAATTCGATTTAGCAGCGGGCCATAGCAAATATTAAATGGCTTAGAAAGGGGGACCGTCAACCAAGATAGCCAGAAGAATTGAGTTTAGCAGCAACTCAGTGAATTGGAGAAAGCAGTTTCTAGGATTGAAGGTCAGATGACAGGCAAAGAGTGATCATCCACACTAACTGGTAGATTCTCCACGACTAGTGTTAACGGCATGCAATCCGGAATTGTTATTGGGAACAACACACTAAGCGAGAACAACGTACGAAGCTCAACTAATGCTGCACCGTTCAAAGGCACGGGACGTTTGAGCCAAAAGGAACTGAGCAGGCTGCAGAGAGACCAGAGACAAAAAGAGTCTCCGCTCCCCCACGTAGTCCGCCAACTCCAGTCAGACATTTGGTGATACCCTATTAAATTCGACAGAAGTAAACCTTGTACGAGGGGATATAAGGGATTTACACCGCTATTTTTACGCCCCACAGAATGGACGTCTGGGCGTGCCACAGGGCATAAGAACAAATACTTCCTGTTGAACTGGCACCTCAGTGGCCCTGCAGCGCACGTTGGCCGAAGGCTGACGATTTTCATTTGGAAAGAATGCGTGTCACAAGTCCGGAGAGAGAGCCAATGGCAACAGGAAGCTTGTGCCCTACTTTCCCAGCAGACAGATGGGTGAATGCCGCACTTTGCTACTTCCGCTAGTGCTGCATGTGGGTTGGGAGCTCACCTTGCTTGTGACCACCTGTGTTGTTGATGTTCTCAGAATTGCCATGCGAGTAGACGATGCCGAATGTGGGATTCGCCGGGAACCGTAGGGTTTTGTTTTGTAGCAGGAAGTATCATAATGGTAAATTTTGCTAGTGGGAGTGGGCGGGATAATACAACAGCAGAGAGGGTGCAGAGGACCAGCCCCTGCAGCCGAACGAGCAAAACTAGATACACCACAAGCTTCCCGGGTACGAGATGTGAGGCAGGTGCAACAACGAACTGTTTGCATTCGTTTCAGGCCCCCAATAAGACTTAGTTGGCATAAATGTGGCAGCTCTGCCCACTTCGGCGACTGAAGTAGCAGGCAGTAGAGAATGCTCAGGGAATTCACAGTGTGCTCAGCAAACAGACAGCTGCTAGAAAGAGGGACTCTTCCGCCACTGTAGTTTTGGCAGGTGCGGTTTGTGCCGCTTGGATCAGTCGACTTCTTTGCATGCGTAATTCACTTCTCTTTCTGAAAATACATTTCCTGGAGGGGCTTTACAGGCTTCTTATTTCAAGCAGCCGACTAGATTGTGCCTCCAGTTATGCTTTCCTCAGGATCCGTTTCAATGCTGAAGGTATGAACGGCTTGTACCTTGTTGGTAAGCACGCCAGACGAGTTTTTGGAGATGAGGCGCCGATTCCGCACGACGTGGTATGTGTATCCTTCCCGGATACACAAAAAAACCGCTGTAAACCCTGGGCAGCAGCCATACATTTCGATGGTAGTGCGTCCTTATCGGAAACGTATTTGCGCAGCTACGCCTTTGTACGGTCCGTTTTGGCACCGACGCTAACAGGTAAGCTGCACTGTACATCATCATCATCTTAGGAGCACTACCCGCCTCCAAGCTTGTAGTGCCGTCATACCCCATCTAGAGCTGAAGCTTTTCTGTGTCTTACTTCATTATTCCCACAACGTGCCAGGTATGTTGGGTGAAACTAACACCCTAAACTACATTTTTCAGGACTGCCGCTGCTAGAGAATCTCGGCAGCTGCGTCAAAGCATTGTGAGGAGAAGTGAAAAGAAATTGAACTGCAGGCCTCATCCCCCCACAGGAAATAATTGTTGTTGGATGAGTGAGCAGCTAGTCACAAACAACATACCGTACCTCATGCTTAAAGTATGGAACATTTTTTTCGGTACAGTTGCATACCAGTACTGCACTTTGCCTACCATTGTGCAGCGCTGGACTATGTGAAACATGCATACGACAGCGCGCGTTAACATGTTGAAAAACCATCAATTCTGTTATGAGAAAATGAAGCAAGGCATCCGCGGCCGAAAAAAAAATTACTGTTGATTGTGTAAGCAACTCGTGACAAGCAACGAACCGCACCTCTTGCACCTTCCACGGCACAATATTCTGTGACACGGCGCACCTCTGTGACGGTTTTCCTACCACGTCACAACACTACACGACACACAACCTGCAGACGAGAGTGCAGATTCATGACTTGAGTGCCACCAACTGTGTAATGTTGAGAAAAACCGACTGTCCGCAAGCACCGCCTAGAATCACGATTGTCCTTGACGACTCTTGAAAAATTCCATTTTTGAAGGCTTCGACTAAGAACCATTAAATCCACTAAGCGGTCCTACATTGTCAACCTGTGTTAGCGTGCCAGGTTAAGGGAGGATTCGATGCGGAAAAGGCAGCCTTAAGAAACACTACGCAGGCATTCTCTCTCACAAATACACAGTCCGAATGAAAAACACCTATGAGTTAAGGACACATTCCATCTTTTCGCCAGGGATCCCATTTCGGACCTTTTAATCTGTGGCGCCCGTGTGGAGAGCAGAATAGCAGCCTTTTAAGAGCAACAACTTCAGCCAGTGGGGGGCGCTTTCCAGTCCTGTAAATTTTCAAGGCACGGATTAGGCGCAGAATCAATTCCCTGTTATATGCCGCCAATGGGGTAAAACTTACCCATGGAGGGGTCGCAGGTAAATCCAAGTGGAAGCGCGCTGTGAATTTATCCCACCAACGATAAAGCAACATAGAATCCTTAAAAAGTTCAATAGCACACACGATGGCATCGAACGCCATGAAATAATAACCTAACAATTCGACAACGCAAAGTGGATTGAGACGCCTCGGCGGTCTGGAGCTCCGAAGCCAACATATGGTTACTAGCCGCTCGACGGCATTCATTACCATGTCGGCGTCCTTCTGGTTCAGGGTCTCCTTTGCAAATAAGTGCCGCAACGTCAACAGGCAGCTATTAGGGGAAAACCTCCATGACCGTCGCACAAAGAGGTTTGATACCCGGATGTACCGAGGGAAGACACGTTTCTCCAACACTGGAAGCCGAACATACGGGTGAGTTCGAATATCCCCTGGCACATATTGATTTCCGGGATCCTCAGTATGCCCGTCCTTCGATAAAAGTGATGTAGACGCCAGTTCAGCCTCTCCCTCGTCTCCAGGAATCCAGGAACTCTCCCTTATTTCCTCGTCTTCAGGCTGAGACTGGATGCTTGGGATTGCATCCATCCAGGAGTCTGGGTCCAGAGATGGGAGAACACCACTGATGAATTCACCGCGCTCTTCAAGTGCTTGCATTGAAGAAGTATGCAGGCCCACCGGACCACCACCCTCATGCTCAGAACCACTTTGGTCCTCTAGCAACTGTTCCCTTGAATGCGCCTCCCCTTCACCGGGAAGAAGACGACCTTCTACGGATCCCGTCGCAGCGGCGGCACCTGATAGCATTGAAACTAACTCTGTTAGCCTGGCTGACGCGTCAGTTGTAGAACTAGAAGTCACTCTTTGCTCCAGAAGCCCCATATCGGACTCCAAGTCTAGGCAAGTTTCTATGATGGAACGATCGTGTTCATCGATACCTTCCCCGCCATCAGACAGCCGGCGATATGCCATGGCGGACAGCCGATCTCTGGTGAGCAAACCCCTGCATATTTCCAATGATAACAAAATAATTATAATGGAGACAGTGATGGCCAGGTAGACGAGGAGCGGCCGCTTCCGGACGCGGGATCGTCCGTGGCGAGCATGTTGCGTTGGACTCGACAGTCCCCTACAGGTGTCTTGGCCAGAACATGGGCTAGAAGCCTGAAAACCGTGGTCAAAGTCCCTCGTATCGGTTAGAGGGAGCGACAAGTTTTGTTTATCCAGAAACTGTTGGTCGTCGGATGACCCCAAGCTAAGCAGGACCGAAGTAGCATCGTGCATCGTTCGACGGTACTTCCAAAAAAAAGAAGCATGAGACTTCAACTACACTGGTAGATTCAATTTCTGGAGTGTGTAAGTGAATCATTCACGGAAGCACCACGAAGAAGAACTCCCTGATGTCTTTTTATAGACCAGAATGCCCTTCCACCGCCGCGCCAGTAAGGGTGGCTTTGCCGTCCGCAGCAATGAGTCACGCTGTAGCGCGAGGGCTTCTCCTAGGCTGCCACGCTGCTACTCGAGCCACCCACTGATCAAAGCATTCCATAGTTCTGCCAGTCAAAACAGCATTAAGTGATCTATAGACCGTGGCATTAGGGGCCCCACCAACAGAGATTCACTGAACCGGTTGCCCGTGCCCAATGTTACAATACTGTGGCGACTCTTCAGTCGCCCGTGGGGTTCATCAGCCCACGTTTTGCGTTTGGCAGGCATGAGGACCCCAGCTCTTACATTTTTTCAATCCTCACTTTCCATATATGTTTTCATGAGGAGTGTGTTCATAGGCAATCCGTCCTTTAGTCTGTGTCCTATTTGGTGACAGCTCAGCAATGTAGCCCGTGCGGTGCACGGCCTGTGCACAGTGTAGGCTACCGATTCGTATACCTTAGCATTCAACTACTTAGTTGTGCTAGCACTACCTTTGGTTTCTAGTGAATAAAAACCCCTCAAAAAGTTGTAGAGAGCAGTGCTTTGCATTTTTCCCCATCGAGTCACGATTGGGCAGCTGAATTTGCTGCACAAGTCTTGTTTGCAGCACGTCTTGGCTGGAGATGTGTCTGGCTGTAGACGATAATACCACGTCCTTAGTGGTAGTTGCAACTGCTGCAATGAAACTCTTCGACATTGGGGACAATGTCAGGGCTGCTGATGACATTACCATATCCTTTGTTGTCAATTCAATTGCTGCAACCCAACTCGTCGGCCTTAGCCCACAGCCACCGTGAGCTACCGTGGAGGTCAAGGAAGCGAAAAATCAAGTGACTCCTCCCCTAGACTTCACAGGCGTGAAAGACACGCCGACACAAGGTCATGGAGCAGCTGCGAAGACGATGCAGCCCCTCGTCCACGCAGTCCATGCGCAGCCTGTGCAGCTGGTCATACCCACGCGCTTAGTAGATGCGCGCACTAACATTTGTAGTGCAAGTGTCCAGGCGGAAATCCGGACAGTGGCCCATCAGGCATCATCATCATAGTCGTAAAGTCGTTAGTGCCAGGTGCGGTCTACCGATCCCCGAACTAAGCCTACATCGCAAATCCCACTGAAGCCTACGCCATCTTAGTGGACGATACAAACCACTCCGCTATCTCTAACACAAGGAGAAAGATGATCCTTCTCGCTGGAAGGCCGCCAACTTCGCAAGAGGAACCCGTGTCGTAGCTACGTAGCAAGGGGCTGCACGCAGGGGGGGACAAGAGAGGAATAATGGGAATAATTTTCCTGGGAAGAGAAATCAGCATTGCATGATACCATACGGAATTAACATACGAAGATTTAGGAGTGGGGCTTCGGGCCACAATTGCAAGCAAGAGAATGCAAGAAGAAAACCCGAGCATAAATTCAATCTTCCCCGGATCTAGTACGTGTACAGATCGCAGTGCAAGTGAAGAGGACGAAGTTCCTCAATTGCGTAGTGATACCTACACTAGCAGTGGGTAGTTGAACGAAGAATAACTGCATATTAATGCGGCGCAGAATTTCCACATGGAATAGCATCACGCGAGAACAGCCGAGGAAGGCCCTCTCAACATGAACTCGACAGGCTTGCGACACGACAAAAATAATGTGGCAAATTGATTCTCTTGATAACTCGATCAAGCTCTACCGTCACCACATTGTCACTGGCATTTTTCCCTTCTTTCTGCTCGCAGTAAAACTCCTCGATTTGGATCCCCATTATAGGATTAATTCCAAAGAAGCAATATGCTCTCACCAACTGAATGTTGGCGAATTGCGTAGGCAAATAGGGACTAGTTTTCTTTTGTTCCCTTTTCAGTTATCAAGAGAATCAAGTTTTCCTGCTGAACAAGTAGAACACCAGCTACACAGCTCAACTTGTGAAACACGCAGAAGATATACGCAGCACACAATCATGACAATCGGAACGACCATACAAGAAAGCTTTACGTCATACGCAACCCGGTGGATTTGTGTTTGCCCTTTTATAGACAAACAAAAAATACCTGCACCCAATAAGCAGTTATTGTTCATTAGTGCCTAGTGACACACACGTCTACTGCTGAGCTGCGCAGCTCCTATGCTATACTGTGCTACAGCATAAACGGCCTGCGTTGTCAACGTATCCAGATAAGCTGGGCGGCGTACGCAACGTTCGCTATTCATCTGCTTCTCATGCAAATCAATCGCCTCTAAGCTCGTATTGATGTCCAATCAATGATCGAGTTGGAATACACGTGTATCTACTACTACAATTATGCCAGTGTTGCCGGATAGAACAATGCCTCAATCTATATTAATAACGTTGTGGCTAATGTAGAATATCTGCAGCAGCGCCATCATGTGAAGCTAACTGTACAGTTGTGAACAGAAGAATAAAGAAGTTAAACTGTATAGCCGTAAGCCTGGTCTAGAAATAGCCTTCGCTTTGGTTGTGCGCAGCTCATCACAAATAACGAAGCCTACCTGTTGCTCTATAGAGAAGACGCGTTTCTGTACCGATGCGAAACTTTGTCACAATTTGGCTATCATGGCTCAGCGCAAAGATACAGGACGCGGCATCCTGTACACGACAGCGGAGACGAGTGTGTTGACAGTCAACAGCCATGCTGTGCCAAAAGTGGCCCAGACCGACGTGCACCGCCGTGCGGGAAAAGCTTGCAAAATGGCGCCAACACTGCCATTCTAGAAGCTTGCTGCCGCTCCGAAGGCGCAAGAGGGCGAAGCATCCACGCAGTGACCGTATATTTTGGGGGTGGTTGAGTACCCTATGTATTGGTCAGTGACACGACTACACGTGATTCAGAGGCAAACGGCTGTGATGAGCGGTCTGTGACTATCGTCGTACATGCACGCAACCACCTGAAAACCACTCATGTTTTAAGGACAGTCTCCATCGTCTCGCCAGGGATCCCATTTCGGATTTTTGAATTGATGGCGCCCTTGTGGAGAGCAGAACAGCAGAGTTTTGAGCGCAATAACTTCCGGCAGGGGTGGGCGTTCTCCTCTTTTGTAGATTTCCAGGGCAGCCACAAGCCGTTTTACCAAGTATTTGTGAAATTTCGCCACTTCCTTTCGAGTTGGCCCCGGAGCGGGCAGGAGGGGATTGACATCAAAGTTTGCTGCAAATTTCTCCCACCATAGATGAAGCTGCATATGTTCCCCCAGAATTTCAGCGGCACACACGAGAGAATCGAACACCATAAAATAACTACCTAAAGATTCAACAATGTGAATGGGAGAGGGGCCCCTTGGTCCTCTATGACTGCGGAGCCATGCCAAGTTTACCAGCTCCTCAACAGCTTTGACCAGGGCATGCACGTCCTTCTGGTTCAGTGCCTGCTTTGCAAATAACTTCCGCATCGTGCACAGGTAGGCATGAGGTGAATACCTCCTTATCCGTTTCTCAAAGAGAGATGAAGCTCTAACGTATCTAGGAGTGACACCTCTCTCTAACACTGGCAGGCGAACATACGGATGAGTTCGAATCTTCGCAGCAACAAGCATATTTTTGAGGATCCCAGTATGCGCAGCCTTCGATGAAGGGGATGCAACCGCCAGTTCAGGCTCTCCCTCATCATTAGTAAACAAGAAACCCTCCCTTCTTTCCTCGTCTTCAGGCTGAGATTGGATGCTGGGGATTGCTTCTATCCAGGAGTCGGGGTCCAGAGGTGCAGCTACCCTACCAGTGAATTCACCTCGCCCTTCAAATGCTTGCATTGAAGAAGTATGCAGGCCCACCTGACCACCACCCTCATGCTCAGAACCACTTTGGTCCCCTAGCAACTGTTCCCTCGAATGCGCCTCCCCTCCACGACGACGACGTTCTTTTACCGATTCCTTCGCAGCGGCGGCCTCCGATAGCATTGAAACTAACTCCGTTAGCCGGTGTGATGCGTCAGTTGTAGACCTAGAAGTCGCTCTTTGCTCCAGAAGCCCCATATCGGACTCCAAGTCTAAACAACCTTCTATGATGTAACGTTCCTGTTCATCGATACCTCCCCCGCCACCAGCCAGCCGGCGGTATGTCGCGCCGGACAGCCGATCTCTGGTGAGCAAAGCCCTGCATATTGCCAATGATAACAAAATAACTATAATGGAGACAGTGGTGGCCAGGTAGACGAGGAACGGCCGCTTCCGGACGCGGGATCGCCCATTGCGAGTATGTTTCGTTGGATTAGCCAGTCCCTTCAAAGTGCCCTGGCCAGAGAATGGAATGGACATCAGTAAACTGTGGTCAATTTTCCTCGTATTAGTTAGAGGGAGCGACAATTTTTGTTTGTCCAGAAACTGTTGGTCGCCGGAAAACCCCATGCCAAAGGAGACGGGTGGAACGTCGATGCCGCGGGTTCTGCTGCAATAGAAGTAATGTTTTCACGATGTTTCGAAGGGTGCTTTTCGGGCGGAACCGTGTGTTCCCGCCTCCAGCATATGTAGGACAGAAGAAAAATTCCGGGTGCTCTTAACAGGGCTAACAACCGTTCCTTCTGTTGCGGCGCCATGGGATTTGGCAGTCTGAGCAGCACCTGATCCAACCAACCCGTGCACCATCCCTGCTGGTGTCGGGCACTGGTCATAGGCAAGTACAACAACCTGGAGCAGAAATTCTAATATTATATTTGGCTCTGCTGTGGATAAATATTGTCTGGCAACATGAGGCCAGCAGTGGGTAAAAAAGACCAGCGACTGGATTACACTTTCCGCACCGTCCCGATGAGGGGATCAGCAACCGGTGGAGGCTTCGACTGGAACAGAGTTTCTCGCGAAGACGCTTTCTCCGGGTTTTTTCGTATCACCTGTTGATCATGGAAGAAAATGCCCAGTCCTTGATTCCTACACCCGGTGGGATACACCGATGTTCGCCCGCAGGCAGTTGCCATGAACCAGACCTCTCAGAATTCCCCAGCCAAGAAATTTTCAACTTCAGCAAATAAACGCCGTTGACAGATTTACATCAACACCAGCAACCAACTAGTGACGTCTCTACTGCATATTTTTTTTGCGTTCCCCCTAGCTTAGGTGGTCGAGGTGACCCACCCCACGAGTGACGAATATCTCAGCAACTGTGACACGAATTCCACTTTGTCTCACCAATAAGTGCTATTTATGTAACTACTGCGCCTTATAATGATACTCGGCTAATATGGCCAATATTCGAGTTAGATGAAGAGTAAAGCAGGATGTGGCTGTCTAGTCTCCAAGCAAACTCCTCAAAGCAGCAGAAGTACTGGGAGATGTGGTGTACCATTAGCTGCAGTACATGTGGCTTCAATCCCTGCCACGGCGAAACACAACATTCATTCACGCAGGGGTCCACATGCAATGCGCGTACCAACACTGTTTAGAGGTGCTCAACACTTAACGGGTATCATTTGCCAGACACAGAATTACACGAACATCCCACCTTCAGGTCACAGCACCTGCCTTCCTAATGCTACTCTTCAGGAGAGCAAACTATTTGCTGGTAATCTGAAATTCTTCCTGCAGAAGCGCAACAAACCACCAAATCTAAGGTGCTGGCGCTTCTTACAACAAAACAACGAAGGACCAAGCCTAATCATGAAAGCCCAATCAGTGGGTGATATGGAACTTTGCTTCCCCATTTCGGGGGGCAGCGAATGATTTCGCTACCTCCCTGAAAAAGTAGAAGGTTGTTCCAATTGATTCAGTACTGGCAACTCCGCAGGAGAATCAACCATCGCAGTTACGTGGAAAAAGGCAGCTAGAGGGAAGAGGAAAGAAAGGAGAACAAAATGGAAACGAACGCAACAACCGAACAGAGGGGCGCGGAAAGGGAGTGAAAATAGAGACGTCAACCAATTCGGCGTCCACCACCAACTTACCGACTGAGATAGAGTAGGCGCATGGGTAGCAGGACCGATGCAGAGTACGAAACACTAATTCGCAGCAATTGGCAGATGCTTCACTGCTGATTACATAGGAAGACAGTGCAGAATTTCTTTACCTAAGCACACTAGGCCCCTCGAAAAAAGCCCATGTCATAGTTACGGAATAGTGGCTGCAACATGAAGAGGAAACGAGAGAAAGCGTACCACTGACAAGGAAGCGAATTCGGCAAAGCCACGTAGAAAGAGAAAGTGGCTTGGGAATAAAGTCCTTCCAGGTGGGCCAGCAACGCTGCCAGCGAAAAACCACTGACATGGAACAATTGCGTGCAGAATATGCACAATCAGTCCACCGCAGCTGATAGATTTACACCGAATTGAAGAGGACTACAACACGGAATTTCTACGCTGAAGCACACTATTCGACAACAAAAGTGCAAACACCTGCATATTACACACTGGCTCCTCCCCTGACATAGGGCCGGAGGTGGCTTTTACAAAATGCAGGAAAGCAGTCACAGCGGACCTCCATTCCCCCAAGAGTTTTGCTTTCATTCAGTTAACGTGTGAAAGAAATGTCTGCGGCTCCGACAAAACTAATCTCACAAGTAGGAACGATATAGTAGAATTCGCACTGCAGTGTAAGTTGGGAAAGCTACCAAGTGGGGTAAAAAAGTATGGTTAGAGCGATACCCAGTAGGAAACATTACTCTCATGTTCAACTGGTGAGGCAGCAGCCAGCCGTAGGGCGTGAAGAATGTCTCCACTGTTCTACTTCGGCCTGCGCTCCAAAGGCACTGGCACAGAAGGTTGCATGGCATGACAACCACCGTTGACGCCACGAGCATCACCAAGCCCGAAGACGATGTCGAACCTGGGGTGAAGCAACAAAACTGGTATTTCACTCCGGGCCTGAAACACGTAAGCTGGCAGAACTTGTCCGGGTCTGCAGCAGCCCAGAAAGAGACAGCGGCAAAAGGGTGGTTGACCATATTTCAGTGAAGTAGAGCGGGAGCGGCTGGTATAGCGCATGCATCCAAGGACCGCAGCAAGCGGATAGAAAATGCTGTTGGTAACTTACGAAAGGTCAAGTCGTGGATGGTAATGAAGCCAAGCCATGCAGCCGGAGGCAGTGTGGCTTTAAAAGGCAAATGTGCTACCTTCTGTTTCTTATGTCTTTCGGCCCCCTTACCTGCGTAGAACGTTTGTTCTTTTGAATGCGCCTATCCTATCATAGGCGCAGCAAACTCAGGATATACAACAATTCGCGTGCTTGCAAGATGAAGGATGCAAGGGCAGTCTGGCTGCACCTTTCAAGCATCCGATTTGTTGTATATCCTGCGTTTGCTGCAAGATTCATTTGAGTAACGAAGGTATACCACACGTCCACTGTGGTGGTATGCACCCAACAAGGTGCTTCGAAGGGTGTGATCCGGCTGGGTGGCGGGTGCATGGGTTGCAAGCAGGCCCTAAAGGCACCATAAAGTTCAAGCAGGCACGCCTGCGGAACGCGGATGGTCGACTCGGATCCGGCGCCACAGTAGATGCTCTATTTCTCGTTGTGATACTTTACACCTTTGCAGAAAAACAGAGTGCCGGAGACGTGCTGACGTTGATGCGATGATGGCAACCATATGATGAACGGTCTTTGATGCAGTCTGAAAGCTGCAAAGCAAGTTCTGTAGAGCCGTACCTATGAATCTAGTTAAAACAAGCCGGTGGATACGTACTTGCCTTTTTGCAGACAAGCAAACAATACCTGCACCCAATAAGCAGTTATTGTTCATTAATGCCTAGTGACCCACACGTCTACTGCCTCTCCTGCAAATCAATCACCTGTAAGTTCGTGTTGATATTCAATCAATGATCGAGTTACAATACACGTGTATCTACTACTACAATTATGTGTACAATGTGTCAGGGTTGCCGGATGAAACAATATCTCACTCTATGCCTGCAGCAGCACCATCATGTGCAGCTAACTGCACAGTTTTGGAAAGAAATGCAAAGAAATCAAATTCTATGCCGCATAAAAATGCTTGTTGCCGGTGGGGAGAGCAGCTTGCCGCAAAGAACGGCTCGTACCTTTTGCTTAGAGATGGCACACCTTGTTGCTCAATTGCAAGCTCTGCCACAATTTTCCCGGCGGAGCGGAACAGCATTCATGAAATTCGGCACGCGAAGGTGTAGTTTAACGAGCTCAAAGTCGCCCACTTGGTAATGCGAAAATAAGGCAAAGCACTTGCGGACAAAATTATTTTTGCTAGTGGAGTAAGCAGTTTGTCGTAAACAACGAATCGTGCCTCTTGCTTTAGAGATGGCACACTTTTCTGTGCCATTGCAAACTTCTGTCACATTTTCCCCGCCATAGAGCAATACTGAATGACACGAGACCCAACGTACAAAACGGCATAGTAGTGAGTTGAGAGTCATCAACCGAGTTATGCGAAGATGAAGCAAAAGGTTGCGAGTGTCGCCGTGCAATAGAAACATTAGCATCGCCTCCTGATATCCCTCTGATTATTTCTCTTAGATGCCCCTTATTATTTCATTTCACGATATTGCCATTTCCACCGCGTCCCACTGCCACCTTACGTTGCTAATTTAGGCCCATCCCCTTGTTGTCCTGTGGCCCTTGTTGCCCAGTGGCAAGGCTCGGCTCGGTCCAAATAAGGAAACGAAACCCCTAGACAGCGTTGTACGAATATCAACTAGTTACGTGCGGATAATAAACCAATCCAACCATGCTTCAAGAACATTCTCCATCGTGTCTCCAGGGATCCCATTTAGGATCCCTGAAATGAAGGCGGCTGGGTGGATGACAGAACAGGAGCTTTTTCAAAGCAACCACCTCTCCAGGTGGAGGGCGCCTTCCCTGTTTGTAGATATCTAAGGCAGCTATAAGGCGTCTTGCTAATTGCCTGTGGAATTTCACTAATGTACTTCCACTTGACCATGGAGCTGGCAGGGAGAGGTTCGTATTAAAGCTTGCTGTGAACTTCTCCCACCACAGCGAAAGCTGCATATGCTCCCCAACAAGTTCGATAGCACACACGATGGCATCCAACGCCAAAAAATGATCACCTAAAACTTCCACCAAGAAACGAGGGCGACTCTGTTTCGGTGGCTTTTGGCTCTGAAGCCACGATGTTACCACCAGCCGTTCTACAGCATTTAGGAGGATATCCACATCCCTTTGGTTGAGTGTCTTCTTTTCAAATAAGCTCCGCAAAGCCTGTAGGTAAACATGAGGTGATGACTTCCTTGGCTGCTGCGCAAAGAGGACGGATACACGTAGTCGCCTCGGGCGTACGCCTTCCTCAAGCACTGGCAGCCGAACATACGGATGATCTCGAATGTCGCCAGGATCCAGTAGATCTCTGAGACTTTCTGGGCGCTCTCGGTTCGATATAGCGGATTTTAGAGCATGGTTAGGATCTCTGTTGTCATGCTTAACCCACAACAAATTTTCCGACTCTTGAGGCTGAATGCTGATGCTTGGAATTGTATCCATCCAGGAATCGGGGTCCAGAGCAGGAGCCACACCAGTAAATCCACTGCGTTCAACAAATGCCCCCTTCGAAGGAGTTGGCACACACCCCATATCATTGTCTTCATCCTCAAAATCACTTTGCTCCTCCAGCCACTGCTCGCTCGAGTCTACCTCCCCTCCAACGGGAAGACGTCCTTCTACTGATTCCTTCGCAGCGGCGGCCTCTGAGAGCATTGACACTAACTCCGTTACCCGGTGTGACGAGTCACTTGTAGAACTCGAAATCGCTCTTTCCTGCATAACCCCCATATCGGCCTCCAAGTCTAGGCAACCTTCTATGATGGAAAGCACTTCTTCGTCGATACCGTCCCCACCTTCTGCTGCCAGGTTGCGGTGTATAATTCCTGACCCTCGGCCTCTGCTGCGGAGATACTTGCATATGGAAAATGATATCAAAATTACTGCAATGGAAAGGCTGGCGGCCAGGCAGGCGAGGAGCGACAGGTTACGCGGACGGGATCGTGCATGGCGAGTGTGTTGCGTTGGGCTGGGCAGTCGAGTCCAAGTGTACTGGCCAACATGTGGAATAGACATCAGTTTGGTGTGATCCCGTCCGCTCGTACTGCTGAGAGGTCGAGACACACGTGACGTCTTGAAAAACTGGTGGTCGACTGGTGACCGCATGCCAAGGAGAACGTACGTATCATCGGCATCAAAGGATAACCTTACGAATGAAACGTACCCGCGTATTTCAAAGCATAAGTTCCCAATTTTCTTGAATGAGCTACCAGCCACTCCCTCCACGCTGCGCCCCTTGGGCAGCGTGGCACGCCGAGCGACACCTGACGAACACTGTGCAGCCCCGTTGTTAGTGTCTGCTGGAACAATGAATTCCTGTTTATATTTTCTTTTTAATTAGCCTGAGGACTTTTGAAAAGCTGCGGACAGCAGCGAGTTGGGAAGATCCAACACTTGGGCTCTTGTAGCAACCTTGCAACCTTGCAGCTGATCGACGACATCGAGCAAGACAACATTCTCAGTAGAAGTAGCTCTTCAGATGTGTTAGGAAATTCTGGGCATGGGGAAAATACCCTGCACTGGTTGTCACCGCGTGGGGAACCAAAGGGACGCTCGCCTGCCTTTTTCCATGGTGACGGCTCCTCCAACGACTCTCTTAGCATTGCCGAGTTTCCCCCTTATTATACACTCGACAGGACTGTGGCATATGACCAGAGGTGAGCTCTACTAACAACTGCAGAGGACAACGGGGACAAGGTGAGTATCCGTTTCCCCACAATATATGCCGTTTTCATCAACAGCTGGCTGAAGGCGGTTATGTCGCTTAGGTGAAACTGAACAACAGTGGGGTTACTTAGGCCCGTGAAAGGAAAGGCCAAGGCATGAGTGACAGCTGAGCCAAACCATACAGTCGCAGCCCTAACCACTCTGAGACTGACCTGTCTTGCCTCCTACTGATTACGTCCCTCGCCTTCTTTCCGTGCATAGCTCGCTGCTTATCTTTCGAGGCATGCATATCCTAGAGGAACCTTACAGTCCTCGTATTTCAAGCAGCTGAATGGTTTCATGCCATGCGTTGTACTTTCTTCTAGACTCATTTGGGTGGCAAGCAGCCCGTCCACCTTGGCTGTATGCAACTTCACAGGGATTTCAGCGGAGGCGATCGCAGTGAATGACGGTTGCAGAGGTTAAAGGCATGCCACAAACGTCCAGATCAAGTGCAAATAAGCACTTCTGCGGGGCGGTTATGATTGCCGGTGGACTGATTCGGATCAGGCACAACTGTAGATGCCTTGTTTTCTTTCCTCCTGGTAATTTGCACGTTTGCCGAAAATCGGAGTGCTGGTGTTGTGCTGAGGTGACAACGATGATAGCAACTATATGATGAAAGGCCTCTTGGTGCAGTGCGAATAATTGGGACGCAACTTCTGCAGGGCCGTGGCGGTGAATCTAAACTAAGAGATGGGGAGCATTCATGCTTGCTCGTCTCTAGGATAAACAAGACGTACCTGCATCGACGAAGCACTACTTATGAATGAATATTCAATGCGCCTCTGTCTACAGCTGAGCTGCTGAGCTGCTCACCTACTCCACATATAAGGTATGCGTTGACATCGACGAGGTTAAATTTGATGGGAGGCATGAAAGAAATAAACTGTACACCAGCCCCCGCCGCTCTGCAGACGCCTGCAAACTAGTGTTGATATATCAGCGCTGCTAGAGTTGCAGTGTATGTGCAATTATTACTTTTCAGTAGTTGTCAGACTTGCCAACTGAAATTAATCAGGCGGTCTCATCGGAATTTGGTAAAGTTGTGGTTGCTAGAGGACATCGGCAGCTGCGTTAACTCTTCTTGTGAATGTGAGTATACTAACAAGGAAATACATGTGAAGGAATAAGCTGGTCCCGCAGCAAAGAAATAACTATTGCCAGCGTAGTAGGCAGTTCGTCCTAAAAAAGGAACCACATTTCTTGCACTGGACATGGCACACTTTTTTGTGCCATTGCAAACCTCTGTCACAATATGCCCACCGTGGAGCAACACCGAATGACACGAGATCCAACGCACAAAACGGCGTAGTAGTGACTTGAGAGTCACCAACCGAGTTATGCGGAGATGAAGAAAAGGGATGCGAGCGCCCCCGTGCAATAGAAATATTAGCATTGCGTCCTCAGTGCCCATTTCGCACGTTTGTGTTAGACGCCCCTTATTATTACATTTTAGGATATAGCCTTTTCCACCGCGCTTCATTGCGTCAACGCAGCCACCTAACCTCTCTAATTTGGGCGATCACGCCTTTGTATTAACTAGTGACAAGTCTCGGCTCCGCCCAGACAAGGAGAAGAAAGCACTACACAGCGTTCTTGAAAATATCGCCTAGATATACCGTGGTTTAGCCAATCCAACCATGCTTTAAGAGCATTTTCCATCGTGCCTCCAGCGATCCCACTTTCTATCCTTCAGAGCCGGTCGCCCAAAAGGGGGGCACAACAGCAACACTTTGAGCGCATACACTTCTTTCAGTGGAGGGCGTCTCCCCTCTTTGTAGATATCCAGGGCAGCGAGAAGCCGCGTTGCCAGATGCCTGTTGAATTCCGCCATATCACCTCCGCGTGATCGTGCAGACCGCAGAGGCACTGCCTTGATGCCTGCTGTAAACTTCTCCCACCATAGTGGAAGACTCATATAGTCCCCCAGAAGTTCGATAGCACACACGATGGCATCAAGTGCCATAAAACGGCTACCTAAGATTTCAACAATGAAGCATGGAAATTCGCGTTTCGGCCTTGCTGGGGTGCGAAGTTGTACTGTAGCCACAAGCCGTTCGAGAGCAGTTTGGAGGACATACACATCCCTCTGGCTGAGTGTCTTCTGTGCATATAATTCTCTCAAAGTGGTTAGATATACTTGAAATGATGACCTCCTTGTGGGATTCGCATAAAGGTTAGATGGACGGAAGTACCTAGGAACGACACCTTCCTCAAGCACTGGCAGCCGGACAAACGGATGATTCAGAATCTCCTCAGAGACAGGGCCATCGCTGAATCCCGCGAAGATGCTGATGGTCCTCGATGGTGATACTGATGATTTACCCGAATTGTCCTCGTCACCTGCAGCCAAAAAACCCTCTTTAGTTTCCGGCTCTCCAGGCTGAATGCTGATGCTTGGAATTGTATCCATCCAGGAATCGGGGTCCAGAGCAGGAGTCACATCAGTGAATTCACCATTCTCAACAAATGCCTGCTTTGAAGAAGTTGGCAAAAACCTCATATCACTGTCTTCATACTCAAAACCAGTTCGCCCCTCCAGCCACTGCCCGCTCGAGTCTACCTCCCCTCCAACGGGAAGACGTTCTTCTACTGATTCCTTCGCTGCGGCAGCTTCTGATAGCATTGATACTAATTCCGTTACCCGGTCTGACGAGTCATTTGTAGAACCAGAGGTAGCTCTGTCCTTAAGAACCCCCATATCGGCCTCCAAGTCGAGGCATCCTTCTATAACTGAAAGCTCATCTTCATCAATACCTTCCCCGCCCTGGGACAGCCTACGATTTGTCACTCCAGATAACCATTCTCTGCTGCGCAGGGGCATGCATATCCACAAGGATACTATAATAAGTACAACGGAAATAGTGGCGACGAGGGAAACAGGTCGCGGCAGGTTCCGTAGCCGAGACCGTGCAGGCCCACTGTGCTGTGGTGGGTAAGGCAACTGACTCCCAATGTCCTCTCCGCTGTACGGATTAAAGGCCAGTGAGCTTTCACCCAATTTACTACCTGTGCTGAGAGAGCACGGCAATTTGTGTGTCGCCAGATATTGCTGGTCGCCAGATGGCCTCATGCCAAGGCGGGAGAAAGTAGCATCGAGGTCAAAACAACAACAAGTAACGAAGGGCTTTAACCACGCAAAATTGTTTGCTGAAGTGTGTACCTTCTTGCACAGTTAAGACATTAATAACAGAAATCCTGGGTTTTCTTGACAGGGATAGCTGCAGATCCCTTTATTGTGGTGCCGCTCGCGGTGTCTTCGCACTCCGCCCAGGGCATGAGCCGTCGCGTGCAATGTCCTTGCTCGTATTTGCTACTACTTAATCTTGTAATAACTATTCTAGATAGTATAAGTTGTATTAGATTTGGGTTTATAATAGCGTATATGCTGTTCCTAATATGTGGAAGGCAGTGGGCGGAGAGTATCCAGATTGGGTGGCACTCCCCACCGTGCTGCTGTAGAGATCGGCGACCGTTGGCACCATTGTCTAGCATACCACTAACTGAGACACCACTTAGATTTTCTTTGTAGCTTGTTTTGATGGTGGACAAAAACATTCTCTTCTTTTTTTTCTTTGGCTCTGTTACAAATGGAACTTTGTACCTAATTTGCCCCTCAGATTTGCCAATGGTCCCCAAGCAAACACACACTCAGGACTCCCCAACCAACTAAGTCTCAGGTTTAGCTGAAAAACGCAGCGTGGGGCACTCCATGAACACTCATTATCTTCGACAGGCCTCTGAACTGCAGACTTGTCTTGCATTTTTGCCAGGACGCATGAGCCCCGAAGCCCAGTCATAGGGAGATTCCCTTGCTTCCCAACTGCGACAAGAATGAGCCATACGCCCCTGCACAGATTAGTTGAAAAGAAGTTTCTCGATTTTACTTCAGGGCCAACGTTGGCTGCAATGGAGTCAAAGAAGTTGAGGCACCAATCCCTGCAAGAGCAGCTGAACCCTGTAGGTCGCAGACGTCCTCAGAACAGCACCACCACGGCTATGGAGAGAAGACGTGGATGACCGCGACTCGCAGCACATCTTTTTCCACCCCTCTACATGCAGCCGTACCGGTGTTGCATTCACTGCAGACAGTTCCCCACCGACGGTTGTTGAACAATTGCTCGGCCTGCAGTAGTCAGCCATGCATAAGGAGACAGTGCATCTACCAGCTTTATGCAGTCAACAGTACAAGGTCACAAGCCCTGGCAGCCTAATTCCACTTACCAGAGTGACAAGAAAGGCAAAGACTCCTCCTGTAGAACCGCAACAACAGAACAACACAGTCTAGAATGCAAGCTCCAACAACAGACCAGCGACAAGCGTGTGAAACGCCTTCATCATTAAACGAATCTCCACACACCCTTGCCAACTTTGAGTGGAAACGGTCCCCGCAGAGCTCAAAACGGCAGGTTCACACCAGTTAGCATCGAAGTCTCCAACGATAAGTGGGATGCAACGGTAGAAAACCCCCATAAGCTTTAAAGTTTGAACCCTAGTTATGCATGCGTTGGGGTTACGTTATAGCACTAGTTGCACCTAGGTGCTTTGCATTTCATGGCATGCCGCCTTCTTTCCTCACCAGTCCCAAATGCAGGAGAGTGTGTCTGTAGTTGGAGAAAGGCCACTTATCCGGAGCTAGCGGACTATTTGCGCGCAAGTAGGCATACTGGGCGCAGGCAGACTTCTTTAGGGTTAGTCCGCATTGTTAGTGCATACAGACAAGAATGCTTCTTTGAGCTTGATCTAAAGGCTCCTCCATACCTAGTTGCAGCGAAGTCCGTTGGAACTCACGCCAGGCTGTCTTGTGTGCCATAGCTCCAGGCACCAGTTGTGCCCAGGATACGTGGAAACTCGAACGTGATGTTAGCTGTTTTTACGGGACCGATCGTAAGCGTTTCGACTCCACTGCGGCTCACAGTGTTCCTTGGATAATATTGACAACCTGAATTGCATTTTGTAGTACCGCATCGTTCACTGGGGCAAGTGCAAGAAGAGGAACTCAAGTCCACTGCAGAAAGGTTGGAGAAGGCTTTTGTAGGGTATATATATATATATT